ATGAGACACTACATTTTTGTGTACTGTCTTTGAACTCTAATGTGGGTTTTAATATATATCATATATTTCAATTTGGATTAGCCACATTCAAAGTACTCAATAGCCACTTGTAGCTAGTGGTTACTGTACTGGACAGGGCAGTTGTATACAGTATTTTATTAAATCCTCTAAGATGACTAAGAATAATAGCAAACTTTTGAGTGGCAAGCATTCTAGAAGAATTATCTCATCTACCCTCCTAACAACCTTCATCTGTAGATGAGGAAACGGACCTAGACTGCTCCTCTGTGGCAGGGCTGGGTCTGGAATTCCTGCTCTGAGGCTACCAGGTCTGGCCACTGATTAACTGGGTGGTCTTGAGCAAGGCAGTTCTCTGCATTTTAGTTCTCTCTTTCACAAAATGGGAAGAGAGTTGCAGTGGATCAGCCAGAGTGACTCTTCCTCCTTATTTCCTAGCATCTGGCCAGCCGGGCTCTCCTGTTCCCACCCGTGAGGACCTCGGGTTTACAGGCTTCCCTCTCTGATCTGAACGGTGGTCTCTTCCTAGCCCAGACTTCGCTGGCTTGGGCTGGCCGGACTCCGTACCTACAAACCTTGCAGCAGGATGAAGCCCCTCCCATACCCCCAAAGCAGTGTGTCGTTTTCGTTTGAGTTTCTTCTATTTCCGGCAGAGAGTTCAGCTTCAGCTTCCTGATGCTTTTTTGAAAGAAAAGAAACTTGTCGTCTGGGCACTTGGTTTTAATTTTCTGTCTTTGTTCTTAGGCATGTTGTAGAAAGCTCCCCTCTCCCAAGGATATTCTACTATATATCCATAATTTTCCTGCTCTCCCTCTCCACAAAATGCAAAGAAAATAACTGTCAACTTTTTTGCATATATAAATTTTAACAGCCCATACATGTCAACTGATCTTTTATCCAGGAAGGAAAGGCTTAGTTCAAGTGATGGAAAGTTGAAATGCTTAGGTTTTCATTCTCATTGTGTAATGGAGCACTGTGTGGACATGCTACGTTACGATTAGTTTATCAGTTCCATTCCCCAAATCCACTAACTCTAATGAGGGCCTACTATGTGCAAGGGCAGAGTCCCTATTTTCAAGGAACGTATCTTTTACCAGGAAGAGTAAGGCAAATGTTCAACCAAGGACAGCACAAAGTAGATAAAGCGTGCCAAGTGCCTTAAAAGGGGTGCAAAGTACAGTTGACCCTTGACCAACACAGGGTTCAACCGCACAGGTCCACTTATCTGTGGATTTTTTTTTTATAAATATAGTACAGTACTCTAAATGTATTTTCTCTTCCTTATGATTTTCTTAATAACATTTTCTTTTCTCTAGCTTACTTTATTCCAAGAACAGTGTATAAAGCATAGACAAATTAAATGTAAATTGACTGTTTATGTTATCAGTAAGGCTGCCAGTGAACAGTAGGCTATTAGTGACGTTTTGGGGGGGAGTCAAAAGTTACACGTGGATTTTCGACTGCACGGTGGGTCAGTGCCCCTAACCCTTGTGTTGTTCAAGGGTCAACGGTACTAAGTTCAAATATTTGGTTTGGGGTAAATCAGAGAATTTTCCACAGAAGAGTTGCCTTTCAGAATGGACCTTGGTAGGTAGGGTTTCAGTAAACGGAGAGGGCAAGAAGAGCATTTGGGGAGAAGAGGCATAGGCACCTGTCCCTGTCTCCCGCACTACAAGCAGGAAGAAGCGTAGGAGGCAGCACGTGGCTTGGTCTGAGGATTACACATGGATTGCAGGGATTATGTAAGGATGTAAGGCAGTTTGGCAAAGTCTGCATGAGTGTCACACTCCCAATCCTCCACCCATGGGAGACGGCATTAATTAATCACAGCCCACACCTTTCCAACCAACCTCAGGAGTTCCTTCATGAGATAGATCGATTTGCCATCCCTGGTGCAGGAGTGCAGAGATAAGTGAGGTAGAGCCTTGAGTACCCTGTGACTAGTTAGTAGTTAATTGGATAGGCAATGGGGAGCCATTAAAGTCTTGTAAGCGGGGGAGTGACATGGTGGGAAATGAGAACTGTAGTTCAGGGTAATTAACTTGGCAGTGTTATCTGGGATGGATTAGAATGGTTATAAGACTGAAGGCCAGTTATTTGGAAGGTTACTGTAATTGTGTAGGTGAGCAATAATGTCTGGAACTGGAGTGGTGGCTGTGGAAAGAAAGGACATAGGTCACAGAGGTAGAATTTAAAGCCCCTGGCAAGTACGTGAAGATGTGGAGAGCTAGGGCCAGTGGTGAGAGAGAGGAGTCAAAGCTCACTCAGAGGTTCCCAGGAATTACCTTGGAATAAGAGAAAACAAACCAGTGTTACCATCAAGAGGGGAGCGTGGGATTGGCCAGGAGGGAGGGAAGAGTCCTGGAGAATTTGGGGAGGGAGAGAACAGTCCACGAAAAAATGGATTTAGGCTTATCTCTTCTACAAAGCATAGATTTTCTAAGCCATCGTCTGTCAGAGAACGCAGTAGTGCAAAGTAAAATAACCATTTTTAAGCAAACACTATTGCCCTTTGTCAACGAGCAGAGCCTAAGGAAGGCTTCCATCTTTCCAAAAATTTGAAAAATTGAAAAGCTTTAATTAGTAAGCAGGCAAGGGGCATGAGGAAAGTAAAATATATAAACCTAATCACTGTGCTTTCCAGGTTTCAAATGCTTCCCCAATCCGGGTAATTTACACTTTAGTAACAATGACTGACAGTCAAGGAATGTATCTAACTCACTTTTATTTTTCCCTTGGGGAAAGCACTTTCGGTCCCAATTGTTTTAAGATGCAGAAGCAGTAATTGTTTTAGAGAGTTAGGAGGAATGGCTTTTTGGAGCTGGAATTTACCGCTGAAGGGAATATGGATTCTATCTTAATTGACTAAGGTCACTAGGGCCATTTCCAGGAAGGTCTTTCCAGGGTGAACAAATACCAGCTTAGAGAACAGCAAAGGAATCAATTGAAGGCTCAGGGGAATAGACTTAACCAGAAAAATGTTAATGAGTTGCTACTGGTACCTAAAAAGGAGCCAGGGGTATGTTTTGAGCCACTTGTATCCCAAATAGAATTATTGGTGAAATTTAATATGAAAAATTGTTTAAAAATATTTTAAAATAAATATGGAGCAGTGGATATATTTTGAGATATTCACTTCCCCAGAGGCACTCGCTTATTTATTAAACTGTGCACTTTGATATATTTGTTTACTGAGAAAAGTCAAGAGTGACAAGCTAGGTCAATTGTATCAAGAACATTATTAACAGGCTAACCAATTGTAAATGGTGTGAAGGCTGTTCTGGAAATCTGTGCTTTGATGTATGGGGAAACCCACACATCTGATTCGGGATGGAGGAGACAATCGTGGCTTTGTTTGTAGGCGCCAACAGACAGGCTAAAGCCAGGGATCCTTGCAGAGACTGGATTAAGGTATCAGAACCGTTCACATCTCATTTACATCACTCCGAAGAGTGGACCACAGGTTTTGCTGATTTAACACACAGACCATGGCAAATAGCATTGTGTATTTGAAATCAGACCAAGATCAGTAACAGTAACACAAACCATGTGTGAAGTTTGGCATATAGAGGTTCCTCTTAAGCAATTATCTAACTAGGTCCCCCCCCACCTTATTTTTAAAAAGCCTTTTTCCAAACCAGGAGGGTAGAAAAAGCAAAATGTTCCCTACTCCTTTCTCTCATCCCAACCCCCTAAATACCCATATTTATGCCACCTTCTGGTATATAATAATATTTTTTATTGTCAAAATTTGTGAGCTTTCGGAAAGGAAGGTGGGGGTGTGTGTTAAAAATGTACTGATTTCATCAGTGTCTGGGCAGGCAAAAAGAACTGGTGAATTGAGTATTGAGGCAGAGAAGTCAGGCTACTACCACCTGAATGTCTTCCACTCATCCAATTTGTATTGTCCCTTCATATTGGAGTTTGGGGTCAAGGTAATACTGATGCAATTCTCTACTTTCCTTGGATTTCATTAAACACCTACTATGTGATGGGTATGTTTCAACAGTAGGGAGGTGCAGAATGATGTCTACAATGATGTGACTTATTAGGAGCTGTCAATTACCTGAATTTTATCGTCCAGACATTATTAGATAAGATCAGTATATCTTTTATGGATGAGACTGTACATTTAATAGCAAAATTACCAGTGGATATTGACAATTAGCAGCCACACAGGAACTAGATGCAGTGTGGCATATTTCAACCAGCTTAGATAGTCGTCAACCAAACAGGCCAAAGTTTTCTTCCGTAGAAACTGCCCTGCCAAGTGGTTTCTGGATCCTTCTCAGAGGAAACAGCAAAGCGGCTGAAAGCCACCTCTTTCAACCACACCAGAAATTGGCTGTCCGTGGCGATTCTAGACCCAAAATCTGTTTTAGACACAGATGTATCAAACGAAGTCTGGAAACCCACTGGACGTCCCATCCCGAAGTAAGAAGTGCCACGTCCCCCCATCCTGCTCCTTCCTTGGGGTGTCGGTCCAGGTCGAATTCCTTTTTATTTTCTCCTCAGTCCTGGGGTGGGCTGGCAGGGAGCTACCTGCGATTCCCCACCGTGGATGATCGCCTTTGCCTCTTCTCATGCCGGCTGCAGATGGGGACGAGTTCTGTTCCCGAGAGAGTCTCAGAAGTAGGCACATAATCATCTCGCTGATCTTAATTTCTGTCCCTGGGCTGGGCAAAGGGGAGGATCGGGGCAAGAGAGTCTCTCCCCTCCTGCCCCCCCCCTCCCCAAATTGGCAGCCGGTCGGTGGCTCTCGGTCTGGGGTCTGGAGGGTGGGGAATGTGGGTGTGGGGGCCGGCTGGAGAAGCTCTCGCTAGCGCTGCTTGTGGCCAGACCCGCCTCCCAACCCCTCTCGGGCGCACACATACGTCCACCCAGACACACTCCGCGCGCTCCCTCGCGCTCTCGCTCGCCCGCCGCCGCCTGCTCTCTCCCTCCTGCTCTCCCTGGTCTCTTTCTCCCCCCTCTTTTTTTTTTTTTTTTTTTTTTTCTGGGAGCACAGAATTCTAGGGAAAACAGAAGATAGAGGGAGTCTCGGAGCTCGCCATCTCCAGCGATCTCTACATTGGGAAAAAACATGGAGTCAGCTCCGGCAGCCCCCGACCCCGCCGCCAGCGAGCCGGGCAGCAGCGGCGCGGACGCGGCCGCCGGCGCCAGGGAGACCCCGCTGAACCAGGAATCCGCCCGCAAGAGCGAGCCGCCCGCCCCGGTGCGCAGACAGAGCTATTCCAGCACCAGCAGAGGTAGGAGGCTGCGAGAGGGGCTGAGGAGGGGGCGGCGGGAGCCCGGGAGCGGAGCGGGGGCCGGCCGGGAGCGGGCGCCCGGAGCGCGGGGTCCGGGGCCGCGCGCGAGCCTGCAGCGGCGCCCCGAGCCCGGAGAGCCCCCCTCCCCTCCCCCCTCCGCCCCCCAGAAATGTTGCAAACTTTTGCAGCCCGTTCTCGGGTTGCGGGAGGAGAGGGGGGCGGGGGAGGCGGCAGGAGGGTTGACAGCCGGCGGGCTCAGCCCCTGGCTTTGATTTTTCTGCAAAGAGAGGAGGAAAGCCGCGTAGCCCAAATTAAATACGCTCCCCCAAAATACGGAGAACCCGAGAGTGGGGGCCCGGGAAAGAAACTTTTAAAGCGGCAGTGTCCTTTTAAGAAGGAAAAAAAAAATCGTTTATGGCCACCCTCCTCCCGCTTTACCTTTTCTCCTCTTGACAGTTTCGGCCCCGGCTGCCCCAGACAGGGTGTGTTTTCGGTCCCCCGGAGAGCTGAGGGGGTGCGGGAGGAGTGAGCGACCTGGGAAGCCCCGGGGGGTGGAGAGGGGGCGCTCCTGGATCAGGGGGCGACGTGGGCACCTTCTCTGGAACACGGCGGTGGGTTTGGGATTTGGAGGAAGGGCTCCATGGAGGAAGGGGGGTGCGGGCGCGTGAGGCGCTCGCCAACTTGTCTGGCGGGCGCGGCGAGGGGAGATCCGCAAGTTTGCAGACCCCGGGTTCGCAGCCCGGCGCCCAGGCTGGCGGGGGGCGTGTGCGCGCTAGCGCGCGGAGGGCGGTGGTGCTGTGGGGCGCTCCACGCGCATTCGGAGTGAGCGTCTGCAAAAGCAAACAAGCAGGAACAGAAAGCTCGAAATGCACCCAAACTTATTTCTGCCCTGGGAATCCTTCCCTCTCTGAGGTTCAAGCGTTTCTGCAAGAACCTGGGAATGGTCAGCGAGAGTTGAATGCTGGTTGGATAGTGCGAGAGATGCCCCCCCCCCGCGATTTTTTACACTTCATTTTGGAGCTTATGGGGGGGGGCGGGGGACTCCATTGCCCCCTCCTTGCTTTTTCCTAGTTAAAGTCGAGTGTTGGGGAAAGCTCACTCTCTCTCTTTCTTAAAGGTGTCGGAAGCTGATGTGGGTTTTTTTTTTTTTTGGAGGTGGGGGATTATTTATTTGATTGCGCCTGGAGTTTGCAAAGAACAGGAGGAAGCTACGGCTTTAATTACTGTTGTAAATAATGTATAAATCACGCCTGTCACTCCGGAGGAAGCAGGCTCGCGCGAGCAGCCCAAGGGCTGGGGATCAGGAGGATCTCCAGCCCGGGCTTGGGCTGGGGATCAGGAGGATCTCCAGCCCGGGCTTGGGCACTGGCCCAGCGCGCCCCCTCCTCCTGCCACTCGGCTTCTGGCGGCGATTGGGGAGGGCTGGAGAGAGGCGAGTGGGGGCCCGGGAGCCGCTCCCTTCCTCTCGATGTTATATAGTTGGAGGTAGGAATATGGCTGATCATGTGCTGGCTGTTTTACAGTATTCCTCTGCCCCCCCCCCTTAGCCACACCCCCTGTCCGGGAGCTTTCCCATTCACGGAATTCGAGTACAGTAAAAGCCATCAGGATGACACACACGAAAAACATTTAATTAAAGGCGATTTCCGTGGAGTGAACACGCCGAACCGCGGTTTCAGCGGGAGGGGGGTGCAGCAGGGGCCGGGAAAGGAGGGAGGGGGATCAGGGCTGGGGGCCGGGTCCTGCCGCCAGCTCGGTGAGTTTGTGTGTGGAGAGCTTTTGGCTGCAAAGAGTATATTTAGACCCTGAGACGGTGGATTTGGAATGCGAGCGGGTTATGTAACAGGGTTAATCAGAAACACTGGAGAAAATCCCCTTCATGTGTTTCTGAGGTTTTTTTTTTTTTTTTTTTTTAAGGGGGGGACATAGTATATAGGAAGCCACACTAATTTCTGGTTTGTGCTGTCACCCCCCCCTTTAACCTCCCCCTCCCGTGTGTTATTAGCATCTTCAGGTGTCATTCTTGTCAGAAGGTGTTCTTGTGAGAGATCAGGGTGGCAGGCTGCAGAACCGACTAACAAATCCGTAACTTGCTGTTCTTGCAAATTATATAAGGCTGGGGCATTCAGTACCACTAGCCCCCTAGGCTTAGCAAAAAGGGGAGAGGGACAAAGTAGGGGTGGATGCATCCTGCACAGCTGACCTGTTGACCTTTGTCCCCTTGCCCCGCAGAGGGTCACCCTCCACTCACTCTTCTTTGAACCAACCCCCTTGTCCATCTCTCCAGAGATTTACTAGGGGGAGGGAGAAGAGGTAAGGCCCAAACCCTCAACTCACATCCTGCACGCAGGCACTAGGTTATATAACAGTCTGAATGGAAAAAGGAAGGTCAGAGATGGAGGCATCCTTTAGCTAACACAGCAGTAGTAATAGCTTCCAGAAATTATGTGCATTTGCAGACTTTAACCTCAGATGTAGTGTCTGCTCCTCAGGGATCCCAATCTTTGTGTGTGTGACCTAGGGAGAAAAAGAGAGAATGTGTAAGTATGCCTGGTAGATGAGAGTGATTTGAAAATGGGAAATGTTTGGGTTTTCAGATGATGTAATGGAGTTGGCAGAATATGCAAGTCGGCTCCCAGAGTGTAAGCAGCAAGAAAATTGGAGCTGGCATCCAGTATTAATGTTGCATAAATTACAATATCGGAAAGAAATTAACCTACACACTAGGTGATTACGCCTTTTTAATACTTAAAACAGAAAGGCACACAACTCGAAAGGAAAAGCAAACATCATCACCTTATAATTAGCATTTTCAACCTCAAGGAGGATTGAATGGAGTTCTTGGCATTGGGTGACATGGGAAGCTTTTGGATTTGGGAGATGCTTTCCAGAGAGGTAGCAGGGTTAGCGTCCAGCCAGCCAGTGTTTGCAGTCCACAGAAATTGTGGTCTGGATTCTCATGACATTGAGGTGACCTCATGAGACATTACCAGGTAGACTTGAAGCTGTTGCTGAATGCCAAACTCCTGGGAGTCCCCGTGTGAACGGGCATGGTACCCTTGGTGCCTGGGCTTCCAGAATCAGATGTGTGACTTTGTAATCTGAAAGGTGGACCTTCCCCTGTCTTTAAAACTAGCAGGGAATGTTAGCAGTTGTAATGAAATTGCCCCATTTTCTAGGTGGTATTGATGATGGCTGGTGTCATTCAGTACCATCTTTACAACACAATGAAAGGCAAAAAAGAAAGGCAAGAGGCAACATGGAAAGTAAGAATGAAGCAGGGGAAAAAAAACCCACAGCGAATCTTTAATTTAACAAGGCTTTCAGGGACTTCAGGGAGCCATAAGCATTGTGACATAACCGTTGTTAAAAACCCTTTTCCAGAATCTCGTTATTATATGCATGCCAGAAGCTTACATATTCCACTTTCCTAAAGTTATCCTCACAGGGCTGTGTGGCTCGCACTTGGTTTGGAACACCAGTGTTGTAGGTTGAAGGCTTTTAGGGCAGGCTGACCTAAGGGAAAAATCGAAACCAAAAGACGGGATTAACACTGAAAAGCTCAATTGGGTTGAGATTGAACCCCCTGGAGGCTCAGTTTAGATTGACTTAAAATCAGTTAACAAGGCCTGTAGTTTATTTGCAGCCCTGAGGACTTCTAGAACCACGTAAACCAAAGTGCTTGGCCTTCACGTTCCCCTTTCTGTCTTGGCTGATTCACTTTCAGGTAGGTGTCCTTCTTGCCTGGTAGGTAGTTTATAGCCTTTTCTAGACATTGATTCTCAGATCAACTTTTCTGACATGGACCAGGCCCTCCACAGTGACCAAGTGATGCCCCATAGTTTGAAAGAGCTACTGGCTGGCATAAAATCCTTTGCCAGAGGGATGGAATAATTGTTTTTTAAACTAAGGGACTTTAATTTTACAGTAAATCGCTCATAAAAACCTTTATAATTATACCCTTAAAAAATGTAATGGAATAGTTTTAGAAAATGCATTTGGTGATAGTTATGATAACCTTTCCTGTTGCTTCCCCCCTTCTTTCTTAAAAAGAATTGGATTATTAATCCAGAAGTCAAATCCTGAGTGGCCAAAAACCGTGTATAGCAGACTCTCTTTATGTTAGTCACCTGCTGGAATTTTCCAGAACCTACCAGCATCATGAGGAGCCTTGGCTTTTTCTAGAAAATGCCTCCATTTCCAAAACTGAAATACAGAGTCTGCATGGAAGCCCCCTCCTCTGAGACCCTTAAGCTCATGTTTTCAAGGCAGCAGAGGTGGTGGTGGGGGTCAGGGGTCGGGGGTGCAGCACACACTGCTAGTTCCACACCAGGCTCCTAGGTGGGACGCAGGGAGGTTTGAGAATATTCATTGCAGTGGTTGTGCCTCCAGGGGAAACGTTCTGAGGATTTTGGGTGACAGTTGAATTGCTTCTGGAAGCACACCGACCTCTGTCCAGAGCTAACCGTTGGAATGCAAGTGAGACAAGCCCATGGCTACTTCTCCTTGGGCCACACTCTTGTCACTTCTGACTGGAGATGCACACTTTTCTCCACATGTTCCCATTTTTGCTTCCAGAAAGTTGCGGTGTGTTGTTGGAAGGGCAGACTTGAGTTGGATGTCACTGAAAATTCTGTTTGTGTGGTACGGCCTCTTACAGCGTAGGCTACTTTTTCTGAGAGTGCTGCTCCTCTCTGCCCTCATCCATGGTCTTAGTCTGCTTGGTGAATTGTGCTTCTTAGGTTACATATGTACTTACGTGTTTGTAGGAGCAAAATACATAATGACATTTCAGGTGTCTGGGGAAAAATTATAATGTGAGTGCCCTTGTGCCAGAGACTAAAATTTTGTGGAAAACCCAGCTCTCTTCATATGACATCACCTGCTGCTTACGCTCTTTGTCTTCCGTGAGCCATTGTTCAGGTACTGTGAGGTAGATGTCGTCCACTCCCTCAGGGAGATTCCTGACCAATCATCCTAGATTAGTGATAGATTTTTCC